TCTTTACATACACTGGTCAGAATCCATACAGAAACTTCCACAACTCAGTTTTAGTCTGCCTCACGCTTATTACATACAACACGTCTATCTTCTTCATCTCACCAAGGTTGTGTTTACATAATGCAGTCCTAAAAAAGTCTACAGATGCACTCACTGGCAGATGAGCATCAAAGATCTGTTTTTATAACTGTTCCCGCTCTTACGCTTCAAAAAAGGAAGGAATTAAAAAGGTCCTCCTACTGCACCACTGTCGAGTTTGTCCAGAGTTAAACCAACTCTACAAGAGCTAAAGTGGGAAAAGAAAGCACTTATACCTCCAAAAATCCCAGAAAACAAGACATTGTACTGATCACCCTAGTTAAACCCCACCTCCATAAATTTTAGTCAAAAGACATTTATGTAGGACCTTAAGCCCACTTTTAGTTTATTCTGAATGCTACAGTAATCGCCAATATAGACGTGCCGTTGCGATTTTCTGGAAAACCTTTAACATTCAAGATGTGCTCCATACTATCATTATCATTAGACTGGTCAATATTTACATACAGTCAGCATTATAGTGCCACCTGCTGCTCTGGCATGCTTCTGACAGCGCTTTACATCATAATTTTGTTTCCACATGGAGGGAGACATTTCTCAAAATGAGTGTCTTACCTTCTTTAGTCAGGGGTCTCCTCACAACATACTGCCTAACATCATCCTCCTTGGACAAGTTGAAGAGCTTGCGGATCTTGCTGGCCCTCTTGGGACCAAGGCGGCGAGGGACAGTGCTGTCGGTCAGCCCGGGAATGTCCTTCTCACCTGTGAGTAACAAAGATAAGGATGGTCAATTAATCAAGTCTGAAGAATTCTTAAAAGTATTTCTAGCACCAACAGAACAGGATTGTAACAATCCTAAATACTACGAGTGTCAAATGGCTGAACAGTTTAACAAACTAATACTTGAAAAGCAGTGAAGCTTAGTTTTAACAGAAAGAGAGAAAAGCCACAACAATTTGAGCAGTGTTGAGGCATAAAATCCTCAAAGTAAACACGTCAGATTGTCCTACCATGTACCAGAATTTGGGTGTCTTAGCAGTTACAGGAAGATATGAGGTTTTATCGAAATAAATGACAAATGATTTGTCCACCAATGCAGAAGAACAGAGACAGCAAACCTCGTCAGTCAGATTATGGAAAACCCTCCTAGCCAAATTTAATGAAGCTTAATGTAGCATTGGTGAAAAAAACAAAAAAACAACCCACTTAAATTGAATTACTTTAAAATGATCACTGGAAGTTTATGCATTTGTTTAGTTTTGTCTTGTCTTCTGAGCATCACACCAAACCAAAAGTTAACTTATGACAGTTAAAGAGACTCAAATAGATAAAGCTTAAAATACTATATCTGTATATGTTCTCAGTCATCAAGGTCATGGTAGTCTAAGGAGCTTGGAAAGGAAGTGACAGGAGTTCTTTATGCTTCACCTCATCCAAGACGCTTGTAGTTCTGCATTTTAAGAAACCTCTAAGTCAAGTTGCTGTCTTTCCAAGCTTTTTAAGCTTTAAAAATACTAGTTTCATTTTTACCATATTATTATGGCAGCAGTTAAAACAATGGGAGAGCATTGCAGTTCAACCATCCACTGTTACTAGGACTGGTCGCATCTGGTGAGCAGCTTCACAGTTACTCTGGCAACACACACTGTCCCCCCTTAATGAATACAGGAAAATCCAAAAGGGTCTGCTGGCGTGCCATCATGCATCATTTACAAGCGACTCCAAAGAGATAATCAAAATTATGTGACAGATAATGCGTGCACACTAAGCATGTTACCTTTCTTGACGATGACCAAGTTGAGAACGCTGAGGTTGGCATCAACGATGCAGCCACGCACAGACTTGCGCTTGCGTTCACCAGTCCTGCGGGGACGGTAGCAGGAGTGGCCCTTGCTGAGGAGCAGGCGCACACGGCCGGTGGTCAGCACCCCTTGCTTCATGGGGAAACCCTGCTTGTCGTTTCCTCCGCTGATGCGCACTACATAGCCCTGCAAAAGCATAGATATGTTGCTTCACATCCTTTCTAGGAATTTCATTTCATAGCAAATCTGCCAGGATGATTAAGGTCAAATTCTCATTGACTACACAAGCAAACTACACTTTTGGCAGGGTCATATCTTGCTTTTCTTTCCACATAATCACTCACATATAATCCAAGTTAACTTCATAAAAAATTGAGGGAGCACAGCTGTTTCAATCAGCCATGGTTATATGGGCTGGTTGCATCTGAAAGCAGCTCCACTGTTCCTCTGGCAACACGCCGTCCCCCCTTAACGACTACGGGTCAGTCAGAAAGGGTCTGCTGGTGTGCCACGCCACGTATTTACCAAACATCACACAAAAACTCACCTTCCACTCATCTCCCAGAGGGTCAGCAGACACCTCAGTGGCCATTCGCTTCTCATAGAAGGTACGCAGCTTTCGCTCATCATCAACTTCAAGCAGCTTCTGGCAGCCAGTAGCGGGAAATGAGATGTTCAGCTAAAAAAAGAGGGGCAATTACCACGTTACTGGATGTGCACACAACTGCGAGTCAAGGTGCATCTGAATTTTGCGAACTGAGCTGCTAAAGCTTTTAATTATCTTAATGTCGCTAAAAACAAACAAACAAAAACATTGCTGACGAGAAGCAGCGGTTACCGACTTCGTGAGCCTGTCTGGCGTGAGCTAATGTTTGAATCAGGGGGTAGTGAGAAGGTGGCTCGGGGGCCTGTTAGCTTCTCTGCCGGCTCAAAGCTCAGAAAACTCCGGCTTTAACTTTTGACACAGCCGGCTCAGTTGGTAACATTATCACAGTGCGGGGGAGAGGACGTAAAGGTATAACAACGTTTCATCTGAGTAAAACGAGACTTAAACTGGACCCACATTTCGCTCAGAGTGCGGCCATGTTTCCACAGCGTTCTCCGACAGACTCGTCAGCTAGCTCCCATTTTTATAATCAAAGCTCATCCTGAGCGGCCGAGCCACCATTCCTGCTTTAAATCAGCCCGCTTTAAAGTTTACATTGTCAGCTTTCACCATATCGTAATATTTAACAGAAAGCAACAACATGAAGAGAAACACAGTTAAAGGATTACGTTACCTTCATTTTGCCAAACCGACCCACCGACGGTCCGCCACGAAAAAGAGACCGGATATCCGCCTCGTGGTCTCACATAGACCTGAAATGCTATCGCGATAACTGGTTCGCTGAAAAATTTAGGGTTATTAAAATGTCATACTATTAACTTATGTTATACAAGAATTTATATGTTATACTATAACATATAATTTATATTTATATATAAAGTATTGTGTAACTGTGTGTATATATATATATATATATATATATATATATATATCACCAAAAAATCTCAAAGACAGGCACAGAAATGACAAAGAATAGAATATGTATTAATCCTTGTGTTACAGTGGAGGTGTTGTGGATTTAAAACAATCTGCATTGGGGATTATTATTGAGCCACGGAGCATGCGTCGGCCAGAGGGTGCCAGAGAGTGCATAAGGAGCTGAGATGTTAAGATAATTCCCATCCCAGTCTGGTGAGAGATACGTTTTTTGAATGCTGGCCTAATCAGCTTCAAAATAAACAGACTGTATCTCTTTGAAAAACACTTAGCCAGTTTGATAAAGGCTACCACAATTAACTGCTCACTTGTACAACACCCTTAGAAAAATACTGATAAAAATAGGCACGCAGCTATGTTAGCTGTTCATGCAGCTTCTGAACAAAGTTACTCATTTTTATTGTGAGATGACAGGCCTTTATTACCCTTTACTGAAAACTTGATATTATCAATTAATACAGCAAAGGTGTTTTTTTAAAGAGGTGCAATCTAAAGGCAAGTCAAGAAGTCAAGAAAACCAGATAAATTAAAGTAGTTAATCGTTCCTATTTCTGGAATAGTAAGTTTTAAACTAAATATTATCACTACAATGTAAAAGACAGCTTTCTTTCGCATGTATCGACCAGTGTCAATACATGTGAGTGTGCACAATAATAGGGCTGTCCCACACAAAATTGAGCAGAAAGAATAGACCAGGATTGTCAAACATATTGCACAGAGGTGGGACAGGACCTGCTAATTTACTCAGTCATAGCTTTTGATAGCTTTGACTGAGTAAATTATGTGTGTACATTTTGGATTTGTAACTGTATTTAGATCAGTTTTAAAGTGTTACAAAGACATCACCCACCTTTCACATCAAATGTATAAAGTAATAGTTATGTCATTTTTGTTAGTATTCTGTTATTTTTATTTATTTAACAGGGACAACGCATATGAATGGACACTAGTAGATGAAAATACAACATGTAAACATTACATTTTAGCAAAACGTCTAATTTCCAGGCACATTACATAAAATTTACACAAAAAACATACAGATATAGAAAATATAGCATATCATGAAAACACTAGTTATTTTATTGTATTTTTTATTTTGTTTTTGTTTTTCTTACTTGGGTCTACTTTTAAAGAACAATAAAACTGTGGATTTGGTTCAGTTTGGTATGGAAGCTTGTTGCTAATAAAAAACAAAACCGATAGAAATAAGTCAAAATTTAAAAAATAATAATAATTGTGACTTAAAAAGGAAAGCTCGATTTGTTTACGGAAGGGAAAAGGGTAGAAATGTATTATTGTCATCCATTATTCTCGAGAAAATCGAAATTTGGAGATCTTAACCATAATTCTGTTTTAGAGACAGCAAAAAAGAAAGAAAAAGCTGAAAAAAGTATTCTTTGACTACTGCTGACTTGAATATACAAACTTTAAGTATCTCATCCCCCCTTCCCCACCACTACTCTTTTTTTTTTTTTTTAAATTACCATGACAAAAATAAGTAAACTCTTCCTGCCTGACCTACGTTTGACCGAAGAAGGAAGCAGGCAGGAGCGACTTCTCTTGCAGCCTGAGCACTCTTTGAGTCGCAGACCGAGCAGCTGTCAGTGGACGAAGCAGAGCGTCACGACGAGCAGGAGGCTTTGTGGAAGAAGGACGTGCTCAAAATGCAGCTCCATAACGATTTCCCCAGTGTGTCACAGGCTCGGGTGGCCGATACGTGCCACGACTCAGACGTTAGGATCTAGCGTGCAGCCATCGAGCCGACGGATAGCGACTTTCCCCTCCTCGGTTGTTTTATGTGCTGTCTGCTCGGCGCTGTCCATCCGACAGAACTAGTTCAGACATGAGTAACGTTAATGTGATGTTTTGGGACCAGTTGCAGGCTGGTAGCTCCGAGGTGGACTGGTGTGAAGGCAATTACCTTATTTACCCCAGCATCGCTGAGTTTTACAACACGGTCGGTTCTGAGAACGGGGCTTGTTGTTGTTGTTTTTCTCGCTATTTTGCATATTACAGTTTTGTTTACAGTCAAAGCCTTTCTGCATTTCCTCTTCTTGCTGTTGTCTCCGTTGCACTGCTTGTTTTGTTTTACTCCCCTTTCCTTTCTTTCTTTTGTAGTTGAATGGCTTCTTTGCGCTATACAAATACAGGCCATTTACCATTTACTTCCCAGGTTAACGACTGCTTAGCTGAGCAGTCTGGCTGCTTTTCAGCTTCAGCATCATGATATTTATTGTTAATAGCAGTTTACAGGTTTTGCATGCCAGTTTCTGAACAGCCACCGAGGCCCGCACACTGATCAACTTTTGACGGGCATTGCTGGCTCTTTGCTGCGGGATCAGTGACAAAGACTTTTCTGTTGTTTATCATTTCAGATCAGCAACATTTTGTTTTTTGTTTTGCCGCCGATATTAATGTGCCTGTTCCGCCAATATGCAAAACATTTCAACAGTGGGATTTACCTCATATGGATACTGCTAGTTGTGGTCGGTAAGTTGGCTGCTGACCTCTCTTAACCCTTCATTTTTATTTATTTATTTTTCATTTCACATCTGTACACGTGGTACATAAAGCAAGCGTCAGATAGGGAGGCTTCAAATAAATAAATAAAAATTGTGGATGTCATACAGATCACCAGTTGTCAGGCATCTTGGGAAGATTTGCCAGTTTTCTGTTGTTTAGTCTGTCTCTTCCTTAATCTCAAACTCTGAGATGTTGAGATCAAGGATCTGCGTGGGGGCCTGACCATCTGTTGCAGGGCTTCTTGTTTGATCGTTGCCATTTTTGGGCTTTATATGTGGGTTTGTTGATAGAGGTAGTGCACTGCACTTTTTGCATACATAAGGAGACTCACTAGAAAACCACATCAGCATAATTCAGTCGAGTACATAAGTGCCACTAACACTGCTATGACTGTAAAAAGAAACGGATCATTATAGGATTCATAAAGGAGGCCTTTATAGCTGGGCTGCTACATCAGATTGCATTAGATTAAGTGTTAAGTTGTTAACCCTAACATACTGTTCATATTCACTGTCTTCATAGTATAAATATAGTATTTGGCATTAATAAATGCATGACTAATCCTTACTTTGTGTATTAGAGAGCAGACAGTGTTTTGTTATTTATTTATTATTTTTTGTTTAGGTTTTACAACATTTGTTTATGGAGAAAAATATCTAATATCTCACACTCTCATGTCAAGTTTTACCCAAGACACAAAAATGTAACAGCCATATTCATCTAAATATATTCGAACTGAGTTGATCATCGTTACTGTCATTGTCCAGATGCCAAAAGTTATCAAATTTGAAGCTAAATAAGGCCACTTGAGGTATTTTTACTGCTGTCAAAACAGGTCAAATGAATGTGTAAGTAAGGGTTAAGGGACTGAGTAAATAGTCCTTACACAAACCAATTTTTTTTTAAAATTGTGTATTCCTGTAGGACTTTATTCACAGCAAATTTTTTTTTTAATTTTTTTCCTTTATTTTTCATGAGAGTAAGCAAAGTATCTGAGGGGTTTGCACTGTTAACTAGTACAAACCAGAAGGTTAAAGTATGTCGACTTGGTCTCTGGCAGTTACGATGGACATTTAATTTGAACTAGTTTCCAGGTTTTAGACCAAAGGAGTGATCTGTATACACTTGTACTGCAGTGGCGCTGTTGGGGTGCGCAGTTTCTCAGCTGTGGCCTCTATCACCATCTTTAGATTGATTTTGAATTCATTATGTCCCATTCAATATTTAGGCCTTTAATGGTGCTTCTTCATGTACACAGTTCAATAGAGAGCCTTTTCCCATCGATGCTGTTTTGCAAACGCTCGGATTGCCCTGTCAGTAAAGATAACCCGAGAGCAACCCCACCTCTGTTCCAAGGAGGTGACCTTGGTGGGTGTCCGGAAAAAAAAAAGTAGTTGAAAAAGATTTGCATAACTGTCAGATTTAAAGAACTAGAGCTGGGTGTTTTCCTTTGTGGCCCATGTGTGGTCCAATGTAAAGGGAAATAAACGCAGTCTCCTGGCTTTGTTGGAGCCTCTCAGACAGTTGAACATTCTTGGTCCATACCATAAATCCTTATCTGTGTATCTTGGACTGCATCCTTTTTCTTTTCTTTGATTCTGGAGGCTTTTTAAAACAAAGCAAGTGCCAGCAACGGGTCACATGGTTTCATGCCTTTTCCTCTGTTTCAGCAGTTATGATGAACTTTGACTCGAATAGAAAAGCAAGCCTATAGTTTCTAATTCAAAAACAACATCCAGCTCCTTTTTGTTTCACCTTAGCCTCAGCAGTGTGTGCAAATATAGTTTGGCTACTTTGCGTCTATATTTTGACCTGTCAGCAGATCAAAAATAAGAACGTGTAAATTAAGGCTTTGAATTAAGAAATTACACCCCTCACTAGGGCTTTTCATATAATGATATATATCGGATGACGATATAAAAACGTCTATCTTTTCATTTTACGTTTGTTTCGTGGTGTCACAAAATAAACTGTTTAGGGCAATATTTTTTCATCGTTTTGATGGTCACTGTAGTGGCTATATTAATTTCTTAAAGTTCTCTCTTTCTCTTATATTTAATATAACCACACTACAGACAGACAAGCAACAAGGACGGTAACACCATCGCGTGTCCGCTTGTTTATGTTCCACATAAACCTTTCACAATAAAGCTCAAGATCCTGTTGAGACTTTTCAAAATAAACGGAATCACGTGAAAGAGCAGATTGTTTACGGATGAGAAGTAAAAAAGAGCCGCCAGGTGCTAATAAATAAACCTTAGTTTATTTTTAGAACAGGCTTTTCTCCGCAGCACACCTTGTAAAAATACTCACAAAGAAAACGGCGGCCGTTACAACTTATGTCTAAAAATGTATAGTTTCATACATCTGTTAAAACACTTGACTCCAGCTACATGACGCGCAGCTGGAAACACTTCCCGCAAGTCGAGCTGCCCGAGATTCACAGAATTTACAGAAAATGTTACATTTTTGTGATTTATATCGTTATCGGACGATAGAATTCTTATATCGGGATATGAGATTTTGGTCATATTGCACAGCCCTACCCCTCACTGAGCTGAAGGCAACATATTCATATCCTGTCAAGTCACAAAGAACCTGGATTCTACTTTTAGTTTTAATGGAAAAAAGGACCAGTCTTAAAAAAAGAGCTATTTTTGCTTTTTTAACCATTTCATCTTTACGCAAATATCTGTTATATCCAACTAACACTCCTTAGTTAGCCTTTTTTTTCTTTGCTTGACTGATTATGAAGTAGCTGCTGATTCATTTACATGAATGCTTCTTTAAGTCTTTTATTGAATGGCTCATTCTCATGCCTAGGTTGAGAACCATGACAGGTTTTCACGATTAGTAACAACTGAGTGGGAGCAACATTTGATAAGAAGTCTGCTGAAATGTTGCACCTGATAAAAAAAAAAAGTCTGTTCTACCGTGATAAACAAGGAGGGGAAAGTGACTGCTGCATCTCTCTGCAGCATTTCAAGGCTTCATTTCTAAATAGCTGCTTGCAAATTAAAGGCCAACAAAAGAGGCCTTTACATTCACTGTAACACAATGAATGCCTTTCCTCATAAAACATTTGGCAAACATTTGCACAATAACTTGAAACCCACATGTTTAGCAGCTTGAAAACGGCTTCCAAAGTTCCCATCGTAGATAACAGCCGGTCCTGTTTGTTGTGTGATGATTGTGGCGTTCCAACTGTGCTCTGTTTTTGGGTTATCGTTTTGAACTCGTTGTTTTAGAGGGGGAACATTTTAACTCTACGTTTGCTATTCTCAGTTATGTTCTGATGTTATAAAAGAGAGAGGGAGCACGTAACAAAACACAGACTGTCTCATTTATCCTGCCCTTTGAATACAAAACTTAAACATCTATCACTGTCCTTCTGTGTCTCTTCCTTTCTCCAAGGTATTGGATCAACTTATTTTCATGCCACCCTCAGCTTTCTTGGCCAAATGCTGGACGAGCTAGCCATATTATGGGTGCTCATGTGTGCCATAGCCATGTGGTTTCCAAAGAGGTATTTACCCAGGATATTCAGGAGGGATCGGTATGTTGATAACAACAACTATTATTATTATTATTATTATTATTATTATTATTATTGTTGTTGTAAAAAAAGAGCTTAAACTATGTGCATGTGTAGATATGTAGTCCTGTGAAAAACTATTTACCCCTTTCCTAATTGGGTTTTCTTTTTCTGCAATATTTGGCACAATAAAATGTTTCCCATCATCAAACAAAGTTACAGTCTTTTACATCACTTTGGAGGAATTTTGGCCCTCTCTTCTTTGCAGAATTGTTTTAATTCAGTCACACTGGAGGATTTTTGAGCATGGTTTAAGGTCATGTCAAAGCAACTCAATCAGATTTAAGGTGCAGCTCTTGTCTAGGCCACTCGAAAGCCTTCATTTTGGGGTTGTTTGAGACATTCAGAGGTGAACTTACTGGTGTGTTTTAGATTATTGTCCTGCTGCTTTTGAGCTCATTTAGCCTACCGGTACTTCATTTTGTCAGACAGGTTCTGTTTTAGTGATTTCTTAATTCAGAAGCTCTACCAGTAATCAGGCCTGAGGCCTATCCTTCATGCTCTTAACTCTTAATTATCATTCAAGCAGCTAAAAGTGTTTAGCTCTGACTGGAATTATTCATAGCTGGTGGCATATGATGGTAGTGGCAATAATTAAGAATAAACACTAAAGCAGATACAGTGTAGGTTTGTTCCGTGCAAGGCAGGGCAAACATTTTTTTTTCACATGGTCCAATATGTAGCATATGCATTTAGTACATTACTGTATTAGAGCTCACTGTTGTCACATGATATCTCAGCTGCTGTGACACTCCTGTTTAATAATAGGCCTTTCTAAGATAGCTGACACCAGTAAAAGCTGCATCACATGTCTTTACTTCTCCTTGCATTGTCACCAAGCTGTCACAGCTGCTTGCTCTCACTTCAGGCTGCTACTTGTTTTGCCCAGCCTTTTGATTAGAGCTGAGCGTGTTTGTTATGTGCACCTTAAGTGGGTCATAATAATTTCTGGAGCACATCTGAGTCATCCAAACACTCCCTCTGTATTTTACAATTGTGTTCATGGAGTATTGCAGCAATATCTGTCTGTTTTGTTCATTAATCCATCTAGGTCGAGATTCAAAGTGGTCATCGGCATCTTATCAGGGATCACCACGGGGCTGGCCTTTGTGAAACCTGTTGTCAACTCACTGTCACTCATGACTCTGGGAATCCCATGTACCGTGCTGCTCATTACTGAGCTGAAAAGGTAAGACGGAAGAGTATGACTGTGTGTGTGTTTGTTTAAACAGCATAGATGAGTGTAAGTAGCCGAGTAGGTCTGAGCCAGAAGTGGCACACTGAGTAAACTACATGGACTATGTATCAAATGTGGACATGCTCTGAGCGTCAAAAGAGGGAAGACGATGCAGAAATTTTTAAACCTAAAGTAAGTAAAGTAAAAGTTTATTTTTATAAACCCCTTACAGGAAGCAGGTGGTGAATCTGTTGGCTGATTTATAAAAAGACGTGTGATTGTGCAGAAGTCTGTGAGAAAATGATCTTACTGCTCACACAACTTATGACTACATGTTCCTAATGGGTTTGTGGTCTCAGCCACTAGTTTGAAGTCTCCTTTAACACAGCTTGATGTTTATTTAGCAAATTATGGTGCCTTCCTGAGTGTCTCTCATGATAAAGCAGAGTATTTCTAAGGGCTTAGTTATGTGTGCAATGTCATAGTCATATTCTCAATCAAATCTAACCCTTATTAGTCATGTCCAGTTGAAAAACACTTTAAAAACATGCACTCACACACAAAAGATCACTGCCAAAAGGCTTAAAATGTCATTTGCTCAGTGGGGATAGTATCACAAAAACAAACCCCTGGAAGTGGAAAGCTTTGCTCTTTCTCTCCACTTTGAAATCCTGTCTCAGGCTACGTCCACACTAATGAATTTGAAAACGCATAGTTTTCTCTCCGTTTTGGCCTCGTGTCCACACTGAGACGGCGTTTTTGCTCATGGAAAACGCAGCATTTTGGAAACGCTCTCAAAAACGCATACATTTGAAAACGGTGCTTTCGCGTCGCAGTGTGGACAACGCATGTTAGTCATGGGATGCAGTCATGTGACCAATTAAACTAAGATGGTGTAGGGCATTGTTGTTTTGTTTGCTCTCAAGCCCTATTAACCTCTTAAGCCCCAAGCCTACCTGATCTCCTGCTTTTTGCCCCCGTATCAGGGGGCGTTGGGGCTTAAGAGGTTAAAGATTAATATCAGTCTGTACATGCTCCAGTTAACTTTTCTTCAAATTTTTTAACTCTCACTCGCAGTTGCAACTTTATACTTTTGTGTTACTCGCAGCAACAACTCCACCTCATTGTTAGTCCATTTAAAAAACTCTGTGCCTTTCCTCAACATTTTGCTGCAACGTTTCAAAGAGCCGGAAAGTAAATAAGCGGCAGACAGAAATGAGGCAGGTCGAATCTTCTTGCGTTTCACACATGCACAGTATTGGAACGTAAGCGTTTTCGGCCGTTTCAATGTGGACGCAACTCTGTGAAAATGACTGAAAACGCTAGTGTGGACTCGGAGCGTTTTCAGATGAAAACGCCGTTTTCAAATCTATCCGGGCTAGTGTGGACGTAGTCTCAATCTCAAAACCTCCTGAAATTTACTCACTCTGATTGTCTTCCAGCTTAATAGGTATTTTGGTTTATTCTTATTGTTTTTATTCTTTTATTCTTCTTGTAACCAACATAATTTCCTTATGAATTATTAAAGTATTCTGATTCTGATAACTCTTCTGTTTGGGTGGTTTCGAGTGCACACTACTTCGGCTGCAGGAAAGTTGATAGAATTTCACTATACAGGCTAACTTTTCTGTCAGGAATTTATGGGGATTTCTAAAATATGTGTGTTAAAAGCTGAAAACTGCTCTGCGTTGCTGGAAAACGTAACTGCCTGTGGCATGGGCTGTATGCGTCTTGTACTAGGCAGCTATTGCCCCCCTCCCTCTGACAGCCTGCTTTGTTAGAATAAAACTGTAACTTTCACTAACAGAAATATGAGTGGCTCGGCTCTAAAGCAGCTTTCTGTGGTGATGAAGACTCTTTTTCCGTGAAAGTCAACGCAAACCATGTGAAGTCAATGATGTAGTTCTCGTTCACCAACATAACCGAGTCTCACTTAGAAGTGAGAATGTCCAGCAGTGCTGAAACTTTGGATTGTTTTGTATGTTTTGGTTTTATGCAATCACGTTACTTAGCACCCACCTAAATGTTGTCATCTTCTATAGTGACTCACAGGATGGCTGTAGATCAGGCTATTGGCAGAAGTTTGTTTGGCGGAAACGTCTGGTATGCGCCCAACTGGAAATAACATTGGCGGTAAATAAGAAGCGACTGCAGCATCAAAGGATGTAGCATAAATCACAAAGAATGAATTTTTATCAGCCCCAAATAATGTAAACCAGCAGTCCTCTATGAAGTCCCCAGCTTTGTTTCAGTCATGCCTTTATAGGCAGGGAAATGTTCCAGAGTTGATGCATGGGAAGTATGATAACCTGACTTATCAACAATGTGCTTTATCACCTCTTTAAGTCTTGAACTGTTTAAATAACAGAAGTCAAATAGTGAAGTCGGTGCATTGTTAACATGCCACCTTTCACCTTTTTGTACTGTCTGGTGTGTCTGTTCCAAACTTATTATGTGGAAGAAAGTTCCTGAAAGCACAACAAGCCTTTCACTCTGTTTTTCTGCGTGTTTGTGTCCTTAATGCTTCCTAGCCGTCACAGTAACGTGGACGTATGTTCCGTTGCTTCCGTTTCCCATAACCCTTACTCAACACCATCAGTCCCCAAAATTCATCTATTGTTCAACCTGTTAGTAATTCTTCACATTACTGCCAGTGCCAGTCATCCATTGAAACTGCTTGTTTTTGTTGTTCCAAGTGTGAGAGAGTTCCTGTTGCCCCGACTGATGGACTTTTGCCCTCAGAAAGGACAGAAAACTTAGTTGTTGGTTTCAGGCCAGCAAGAACAACATGTTCTGTGAGTCAACTGTGAGCATGCAGAGGGTTTCTGGAATGAAAAGTATATAAAATTACAAAACTAGAATACTTTAATACTATTATAACTAGCCTGCAGCGTTTTTTCAGAGTGGTGTGTAGAAGAAAATTCCATCACGGACACAATTTTTAGTGACTGCAAAGTTACGTATGCAATGTGCACTGAGCGTGATGCGTGAAACCAATGCAAATGGAGAACATTGTTAGTATTATAGTAAGTTTTAAGATCTTATTATGAATTTGATGTATGTGAAACAGCTCATGGAACATATCACAGATAATGAGGTTAAATAGTAACATGCTTGGGGGAGGAAATAAAAACATCCTGTTTCTGTTACAAGATGGATGTAGGCACCGTGAAGTCACCCACTGGTGTTTCGACTCCACATATTGAAGCTTCAGTGTTATTTATGACCACTTTATTAGGTATACCTTTCTAATAACCGTTTTCTTTCAAGCAGAGGTTCCACCCTGTACTAGAGGTTTTATTTTTATTTATTTAACCTTTAGTCCCATTGAGACTGAATGTCTCATTAACAAGAAACACCTATTTTATTTGTGGCAAAGATTCAACAAGGTTCAGCCAAGCAATTTTGGTCCGTATTTAGGAAAAAAAAAAGTTGTTCATCAGCTTTGAAACGATCCACAGGAATGGGAGTCGCTGAAACTTGAGTGATAAATTTAATTAGTGTCCAGCTTTGTGTCACGTATTCCACAGACCTCTGTTTTGTACAGTCGAGTGCGAGGAGAGTCACATCAGGGCTCCACCCTTATCTTTGCCTCCCACAATTATACTCCTCAGATTCCCCAGCACTTTCTCTCAAAGCAGAAGCACTAATCTAATGTCATGTATCTTATCTCACATCCTTCTATAATCTCCTGGCTGATGGGCGCAGTTTTCCAGATATCCGGCTATGTGGTGATGTTTTTGTCAACATATATTTGCTGGCAGGAAAGGGCGTTGGCTCGATAAGAGTAATTTATGTAAAATATTTCAGGCCAACTGACTTGATGTATAAGGTTTACAACAGAAGTGAGCATAGTTCTGTCTATATGATGAAGTAAGCAGTTCATTATTTACTCTTTTTTTTCTTTTTTCTACTAAATAAGTGTTTATTGGGGATTTCTTAGAGATGATTATCATAGCTGCTCTTTGCTGCTGCTTTATTGCTCCATGTTTATGATTAAAATGCCACTTTTTTTTTTTTTTACCTGTTTACTGAAGCATATTCTAAGCACAGACTCACAGCTTTCATTTGAGGGTATCCACATTCAGATTGGATGTAGGGTTTAGGAGTTTCAGCTCCTCAAAATGTGCCACCCTTTAAAGGGGCCAAAAGTAATTGGACAATTGACTCAATTTCATTGGGAGGTGTGGGCAGTTACTGGAGTTGATTTGAGGTGTAGTTCTTGTATTTAGAAGATTTTGCTGTGACCACAGTGGTTCAAGGTTCTTTATTTGTCACATGCATAGTTATACAAGTATAACACACAGTGAAATGTAGCCTGACACGCTCCTCGACATGTGCAAAAAATCTTTTATGTGCAAAATTTTTTTTTATTTTCAGTGGAGAGCTACTTGGCCTTGTTTTCAAAGGAGCTCTCCATGGAGGTGAAACAAGCCATCCTTAAGCTGCGAAAACATCTCAGAAATTGCTACAATAGTAGAACATTGGTGAATGATCGCAGAATCATTCCCATGGTGAAGAGAAACTCCTTCACAACAGCCAACCAGGTGTACAATACTCTTCAGGAGATTGGCCTTTTGATATCCAAGTATACCATAGAGAGAAGACTGTGTGAAAGTAAATACAGAGGGTTCACTGCAAGGTGTAAGCCACTCATCTCCCCCAGAAAGGCCAGATTGGACATTGCTAAAAATCATCTAAAAAGCCAGCACAGTTCTGGAAAAACATTCTTCGGACAGATGAAACCAAGATCAGAATAGAGTAGTGAGAATGATGACAAGAAAAAATTATGGAGAAGGCGTGGAACAGCTCATGATCCAAAGCATACCACATCATCTGTAAAACACAGCGGTGTGATGGCATTGGGGTGCATGGCTGCCAGCTGCACTGGGACTCTAGTGTTTATTGATGATGTGACACAGGACAGAAGCAGGTTGTTGTTGGGTTTTTTTTGCACTGCATGTCATAATCTCTAATCTGCCAAGTCTGAAGGGCACGCCTGTCTGTCTTTCAGAGGCTTGTTATTCAACTGAAGCACTATGTGCAGCATAATTTCTATTAGGACGTCACAGTGGCTCTAATAGCAGTGTTGTGTCTCCCCCTGTACTTCCTGATTACTTGCCCATCTGTGCTTCTTCTAAGTTTTAATCGGTTACTGATCTTCCTGTATTACAAAGTCTCAGAATAAGATTTCTTATATTCCTTTGGTAATTATTTTCCATAGGGAACCGAATCGTGCAGATATACGGATAGAAACTCCCGTTCTATGGTCATTTTATGAACAAATTCATGCAGCTGAAGAGAAATAATCATTTCCCCCCCAGTTTTGATTCAATGAATCAGAAGGTTTTTTCTACCTTTGCCAGCAGTGCTCACAGGTGTTTTTCAAGTCTGTTTCATTGACTTTCTGTTTTGAGGCCTGTGCATTTTTAATGCATAAGCCCCATATTAAGCTTTCTTTTCTTGCTTTCACATATCTTGTCGTCACAACTTCACAGTTATCGATTAGTTTATATTTTTTAAGCACTTTGACACTTGAATTGTAATATAAAGAGGTATAGCCACTCTTTTTGTGTTCTGTGATTAACTGGAACAATCAGTTTTTACAGTATTGATGACAATTTAATGACCCACTTCCCAGTGGGAAGATGCATCACTGGCCATCTATTTTTGTACTTCCTGTTGCCGTTTCATAGCTGTGACACCCTTTTTTCCTGCCTCTTTCTTGGCAAGTTATGTAATAGAGGCAGTTTACCAGTTCAGTTCACCAGCACACTTACTTTAAAATAAGAAATCTTTAATTCTGGTGTGATGGGTAAATTTTGCAATTTCTGTAGCTGTTATTATTTTTAAATAAAAGATGTAGAAAAATAAAGATGTAGCACCATTTCTCACTGCTTCCAGGGAGTCATCCACTTCTGAAAATACAGTATGCAGATAAATGTACGAGTTCACTGACGTGTTACATCTACAGGAATTGCTCGGCCATGGAGCTCCCAGCACACAGTTTTTGGGCTGATGTTAATGGCAGAAAAAGTCTGGAGAAGTTAATGAGTCAGCGTTTGCGACTTTTGCACTCTATGCCACCTGGCACTCGTCAGCCGTGCTCCGTAACTGAGTTGACTTAATCCAGCAGAGGCATCCTATTACAGTTTCATGCTGAAATACAGTGAGTTCTTTAGAATAACCCATTCTTTCACCAATCTTTACAAAGTGTAAGTGCAGATTGAATGGCCAGGTGCTTGATTTTACACACCTATGACAGTGGGACTGAATGAAATGCCTGAATTCAAAGGTTAAGAGGTGTGGTCTAGTACAGGGGTGGGCAACTCCAGGCCTCGAGGGCCTGTGTCCCTGCAGGTTTTAGATGTGTCCTTGAACCAACACAGCTGATTTAAATGGCTAAATTA